GATTCTCTGCTCCCTTGATGCTGCCAGCAGACGGCTGGAACAGCTTTATGGAGCAGGGCAGCATTGCATTGGTATGCAAGGAGGAAGGGAGCCAGGCTGGGCTGGCAGAGGGCTGCAGGGCAGGATGGAGCTGTGCTTGCTGAGCCTGCTGGCAGAGGTTCATGCTGATGGCTGAGGAAGCGGTTAGCAGTGCAGGTTATAGGGCTGGAACAGGAGAGCAGGGCAAGTGTGGAATTCCCCTGCTGTTTTCCTCCTCCCTCGCTCTCCTCACTTGCTGCTGGGGCCATTTCCTCTCCTGAACAACTTTCTCATGTGCTAATTGTTTGCATGATTTCCCACTGCTCTGCTCAACCAAAATGAAGAGCTGGGAGTGAACTATTCCTGTTGTAGATAAGGATCTTATAGAGAGGTAGAAGAAAGTAAAGTAGTAGAAAAAAGTAGAGTAGTAGAAAAAAGCTAATTTTACTGAGTGCTGGAGACCTTGTCCTAGGTGACTCTGGGGTAAGATAGTGAAGGGAGAGACCTCTGAGGACAAGGTGTCTTGCTCAACAGATTGGGGCGGGGGTGTGGGGGGTAGAATCTGCATGGTTTGCCTCTTTCTGGAGGGAGAGAAGAGGATAGCTGGGGATCTGGTAGGACTTCATCAGCTCTGCTTGTGTGTGAGAGCTGGTGTCACCCTCCAGTCCTCAAGTGTGGACACTTTTCCTACCAGGCACTTGAAGTCACTCAGAAGCCTGGGAAATGGCCAGCACTATGGAAATGGAAGCTTTCCTGTGCCTAAACTGGGACTGCCTTGGGCATGGCATGCTCAGACGTGGGGACATCCCCAGGGATGGTCCTGACCCCTCTGCTCCAGGGTCATTATCTCTGATGATGGGTAGATCACCTTGTGCGAGGGATGCCCAGTGCCCTTGCAATTCAGAGTGCTAATGAGACCCCTTGTGCCAGGTTGGAGCTGGTGAGCAAGTGGCAAAGCTGATAGTGAGCCCAGCAGTCTGCTGGCCACATTTCCCTTGTCTGCAGCTCTTCCATCGTGTGCCCTTTCCAAAACTCCCTGTTTGTCCTCTCCAAAAGCCCCTGCTGAGCACCTACCCCTATGGCTGCAGGCATGAGTGTGGAGAGGGAGGGAGCAGGCAAGCAGAGGAAGGCAGCAGCATGCAGGCAGCTGAGGGATGAGCAAGAGTCTGAGCATGGAGGGATGGAGGGTTTGTTCTGGCAAAGGCACGTGGCTGGGTGAGGAGGGGTGTCGGGCAGCGAGCAGGTATCTCTCCATCACTGTGCCCTGGCTCTGAGGCTCAGCTGTGAGCACTGCATGCCAGCATGCAGCAGCCTGTCAGCAGCTGGATCGCACGCTGCCACAGCAGAGATGTGAGTGTGTAGCCTTGGCCGGAAGAAACTGGAGATTGGCACAGTGCCTGCGCCTCAGGTCTCCTGGGGGTAGGAGGGTTTCCCGGGTTAGCGGGAGGCAATCCTGATTCTGGGTTGGCATCAACAGCCTGTGGCACAGAGTGCACACGTGCTCTTGGCGCACTCATCGCAGCCCGGTGGCCTTGCCATGAGCTCACAGCTCTTGCAGCCATTTCAGGAACTTGAGGGCTGGCAATGAGGAGACAGGGGGAACAAATGCAGAAATGAAAGTGCAGGAGGAGGCTGCACCCGGGTGGAGAATGAAGAGGGAAGAGAGGAAAGCAATGCTCTGAAGCCAGCACATCCCAGCTGCAAAATGAAAGCCTGAGCTCTGGGCAGCTGGAGATGTTCAACCGCATTGCCTTCACAGCAGAGATCCCAGACTTGCTCTGCCCTGCATGGCTTTGCCACCTTGTTGAGCTGCAAAGTCACCCAAGCCAGGAGGAGCTGCCTGGGGTTTCATCCTCCCCTGGCTGACCGCCCTGCTTGTCCCCGTGTCGTGACATGGTGTGGTGTTGGTAGTGGCAGAGGGGCCGGGGGATTCCTGGGCGGGTTGGAGCTGGCTGCAGTGGGGAGAGACCCTGGGTTCTGCTCTCACCCCCGAGAGCCCAGCATGGCTCTGGAAAGTGAAAGCAGCGGAGGTTTAAAGTTCAAGCCGAATTGCCTTGGAAAGTCCCCTGCCTGAGCAGTCTTATCTTTTCCGTACCTGAAAAAGGCAGATCCCGTGGCCTTCTGCACGTGGTGCCTGGGAACGAGTGTGGAGAAACAGGGGCTGTCCCTGCAAGCGAGCAAATGACACCTTGGTGCAGGTGCCACCGTGGGGACCAGGGGCTGATGCAAAACCTGCAGGGAATCTCCCTGCCTGGATCATACCCAGACAAGAGCCTGCCAAGGGGAGGGGTGTTGTTAGAGCTGTTACCCCAGCTCTGCACCTCACTTCTGGCCTCGGCCCCTCAGTTGTGCCCCTGTCCACGGAGCTGTTCTGCCCTGGCTCCCAGCCCTCTTCCCTGCCCTGGGAATGCTGACTGTGTGGGGGCACCCTGTGGTGGTGCAGAGGCAAATGTGAGCGGCCTCCCCTTCCAGTGGGGAATTCCCTGCTGCAGCATGACCCAGGGCTTGCCTGGGGACAAAGCCTCTCCTGTTGGGCACAGCTTCTCCCCATGATGGCAGAGCAAAGGGAAACCAGCCTTGTTTTGCCACCAAAAATGGGGCTTAACTGACATTTTTGGGGACTGACCTCTGAGCTTCTCAGCACACTCATGTCCCCCTTGCAGCTGGTGAGAAGGCAGCCCCACTTCTTCACTGCAATGCTTTAAGGGCCAGGTCTTGCCCTCCTGCCTCTGAGGGATGCTGTCCATCTCCCTCACTGCAGGTGACATCCAAAAGCTGGGCTGTCTGGTGAGCTGGGGTGTCTTGTGGGGCTGGCACAGCTCTTGCCCTTCATCCCTTGGCTCTGCTTGCCTGTGCCAAGCAGCATGAGTGACAGGAGCCCACTTAGAGCCTGGGTTTCATTTTGGAGCTGACATCTGCCAGAGATAAAAGCCACCCAGGGCAGTGGCGATGGGGTGGCAGGAGGCTCACTCAGCTCACGCCTGCCATGCTCTGCTGTCTGCTCCTCACTGCTGCTGACTGGGGCTGGCTTGAGGAGGCTGGTCCCTCTTTGCTGGGAGGCCTGGGAGTGCAGCAGGTCATCGGAGGGGACTGGAAATTCCCTCCCGGCTCTGCCTCTGTCACGCTCTCACTTCTGTTCTGAGTGCGCAGGGGCCGGCGTCAGACCTGGCTGGAAATAAAACCTTTCCTTGGGCTGGGGGTACTCCAGCCACCCCATGGCTGTGGGGAACATGGTCCTGAGGAGCAGGGCTGCATGTTGGCCATCCAGCTCCGATGGCCTCACCTCCAGTGTCCCTGTGCACTGGATGGCTCCATGCCAGCACTGCCACTGCAGGGCTGGAAGGGAAGGATGTGGGGGAGAGAAGAGGAAATTGGTGTGGGCCAGCAGCTTGGCTGGCATGGGGACTGTGCCGTGCAGGTGGTCTTGGACCAATGCCGGGCTCCTGCCCAGTTTTGGCTGCGTGCCTGCATGAGGGGAAAGCAGAAGTGCAGCACACAGCTGGCAGCAGGGAACTGGAATTCCCCAGGCAGCAGCCCGTGCCGGGGTCTGCCAAACCCAGCTCTTACGCTCTGGGAAACATGTCCGAGGCTTTTCGGACCTGCATCAGTTGGAGGCCTGGCTTTGGCCAGTGCAGGGTCCAAGGTCTCTGCATGCTATGAGGTCTGAGGGATGACCCTGCAGTGCTTAGCAGGAACAAGCGGATCTGTTCCCCATATGGGTCAGAGTGAAGGACTGCCCCAGGGAGCCTCAGTCCTTGTTCCTGCCTTGACCTGCTGCTAAGCTTCCCCAGGGAGAGGGCACGATGGAGGAGCTCCAAGCTGGTGACAGGGGGACTGGGGAAGGTGGGTAGATGATTCCTCCATGCAGCAGTGGTAGATATCCGCTTATAAGCACAGCGCTCGGAACTCATTTTTCTTTTTTTTCCCCCCCCTCTTGTTCCCTTTATCCCCTCTATAGGTTGGTTCACCTGGCCATTATCCACTGCGTCCCAGCTGTGGCACTCTGCTGTATTGCTCATCTGCCCAGGGAAGTGCTGGAGATCCAAAATGATCTTTTCCAGGTATGATGATGTGATAGGCAGAAGATGGGAGGAAGGCAGGTCCTCCCTGGGTAGATACCCAATCTGTCTCTAGGCCCCCCTGTCAGCTTCCTCCAGAGCATGGTGAAGATCCCATGTAAGCAGCCCCTTTTCAGGGAGGGGAATAAGGGAGATACCATGAGAGAGGTGTGACAACTTCTAGCACCAGAGGGTGAAGGGGTCCTTTATGAGGCCCCAGGACATTTCAGACTGCCCTGGAGGGTGGAGCAGGCACCGCTTGAATGTGCCAGGGTAGATAACATGGGAGAGTGAGATCTGCCCCCACGGGTGATCCCTGTGCTGAGGCCTGGGGGTGCAGCAAGCTGTTTGTACTGCCCTGGTGTTAGCCACACTTAATGCCAGGGCAGGGATGGGCCAAGCTGGCTCCCATAGGCTGGTGTGTCTCATCATGCCTGGTGTGTCCTGCAGGGCATCCCCCCCTTCCCTAATTTCTGTCCCCACCTCCTCTCTAGACCCCACTGCACCTTGCTGTGTACCTGGAGCAGCCCAGCGTGATCCAGGCGCTGATCCACAAGGGAGTGAACCCTGGGCTGCAGGACCGCAATGGCAACACGCCGCTGCACCTAGCCTGTGAGCAGCAGCACATGCAGTGTGCCCAGCAGCTGCTGCAGAGCACAGACCCACCGCAGGGCACAGCACAGCCCCATGGGCACCACCACGACCTGCAGCTCCAGAACTGGCAAGGTGAGACCTGCCGGCAGCCCGGTGTGGAGCCAGTGGCTGGGTTAGGACAGAGACCATAAGCTGTGTGTGCAGAGATCCAGGAGCACAGCAGAGTGGGCATGGGGACGGGGTTGGTGTGCCTCAGGGTGGACTGGGCTGACTGTGGCTCTCTCCTGCCCCCCATCCCAGGCTTGGCCTGTTTGCACATCAGCACCTTGAAGGGGAACATCCCAATGATGTCTTTGCTGCTGGAGAGCGGCGCCAACATTGATGTTCGGGTAAGGCTGGGCATGGTGCGATGTTTGGGCAAGGCTGAACATGGTGCATGGCTCCCTTGAGCACTCCCTCCAGCCTCAGGGCAGGCACTGCTGTGGGAATGGGAGGCACTGAATTCTGAGGGAGAAGACAGAAAAGGTCCTAGAGGAGCTATTGGATGCTGTGACAGCAGTTGGGGTGAGGACTGCCCCCTCTGCACCCTGTGAAGGGGGTGCTTTGGGTCCCATCTGAGGGGACCCTGCACTCATGCACTTGTGGTCTGTGGGTTGCAGGAGGGCACGAGTGGGAAGACCCCATTGCACTTGGCTGTGGAGTGCCATAACCGCAGGGCTGTCCAGTTCCTGCTGCGCAACGGGGCGTATGTGGACGCCCAGATGTACAATGGATGCACCCCACTCCACCTCGCCGTGGGCCGCAAGGATGCTGCCATCGCTGCCATCCTCTCGCACTGTGGGGCTGACACCCTGCTGAGGAACATGGAGAATGAGACAGCCCAGGATCTGGCTGATGGCAACAATGATGTGAGTCTCTGTGGGGGGAGGCTTGTGGCTCTACAAGTGTGTTAGGGGCGTGCATGAGTTGGACAATTTGTGGGAAGCTCCGTGAACGGATTTCTAGCTGTGCCTGTCCTCCCTTCTAGGGTGCATTGGCTCTGGGGGTGTGTGGGGTGGCTGCCTGTTGCCTCAAGCCCTAGGGAAAGCCCATAAAGGGTTTCTTGGCACTTCCCCAGTGAGGTGGGAGGCTTTAGATCTTGGTGAGGGGAGTATAGCTCTGGGCCCCTACCCTAGCTCTGTGGAGACACAATCCTGCATCTTTGCACATCCATACCTTGACCTTTGCAGCTCCTCGCCTTGCTGCCCTTCGATGACCTGAAGATCTCGGGGAAACCTGTGGTGTGCTCTGAATGAGCGGCTGGACTCCTATAGCCCGTTGGGCTGCCTCCTTGCTCTGCACTGCTGCCCTGCTGCCTGCTGGGACCTTGCCTGCCTGCAGTTCAGTTGGAGCAGCGCCACTGTGGGAGACCTATCACCCCCTCTCCTCTTTGGAAAAGTTTTTTTGGCCTTGGGCTGCCTCCCCAGAGGGAAGAAGGCAGCACTATGAGCACTACACAGGGGAGGCTTTTCTTTAAGCATTTGTGCCCAGCAGCAGGACCGAATTTCCCCTCACTGCCATGGGAGAAGTCTTTAGCTTACACAGCGAAGGAGCAGGAGAGGACTCCTTTTCACGCTGCATGGTGGACAGAGCATCCTCTGGCACCCCCACATGCCATCAGAGTAAGCGTGGGGTGAAGAGAACTCTTAACACTCACTCTAATAAACGTTTGTTCTTGCTGCGGGCACCTGAGGTCTCGTGATCAAACCCACACCACTCCCCCACAGCATCAGGAGGCTGAGCATCATCCTGGGGGCCAGGCACGGGGCTGCAGGGGCTTCCCCAACCCACCTGCTCCTTCGGGGCCTTTGCACAGCAGAAGGTGAGTGGGAACACAGGGGCTTCCCCACTTGCAGAGCCTTTCCAGTGCGCAAGGCTGAGGCTGGGGGATCCCAGCCTGGTGCTCCATTCCCATGCTGTCCTGCTGAGCTTCAGGGCTGAAGAAAGAGCATAGGAGATGCTGGAAGATGAGGTTTGTGGATCCCTGCTTCTGCTGTTGTGCCCGACATCTTTCTGCCTTGCTGTGCACAGTGGTTTCCTCTCGCGCAGAGGATACAAAGATCCTGCCCCATCTCCTGGCTTGGGAGGGTGTTAAAAAATTGGGGCATGGGTCTACCCTGAGTTTTCGATTCCCCCAACCTGAGAGTGGAGGAGATGGCAGGTTTATCTCCACATCCCTTCTGATGTTCAGCTTGCTGCCCTTCCCTGCCTCCTCTCCAAGCCAGAGGAGCACGTGTGAGGCATTAAGGAACCAGCAGCCAAAGGTGCTGTGGGAATGAAGACACTGAGTGTGCCTGACCCCACCTCAGCCAGGGAACTTCCCCACGTGATGCCTAGAAGCAGCTGCTATTGTTTGGGGCAAATCCTGGATGGTGCAATCGCACAACATGCTCTGCAGTGAGTGGTGTGCTGTTGTCTTCTGACTCCCTTCTTGGAAAGACACATAGTAAGGGAATGCTGCCAGGAAAGCAGCACAGGCTCCCTGCAGACCTCTCTGGAGCTGGCCCGGTCTCCTCAGCAGCCCTGGGCTAGATTCTTCTGTTTCTTTTAAA